AGAATACAAGATAATAATATAATATAATATATAATAATAATAATATAACTAATAATAACTAATAATAAACTTAATAAAACTAATGCTACAACTTATTCTATAATACTATATTAAGAAAAGCAAAACAATTAGCAGACGAGCTCATGATAATTATATTGAAACAAATCTGCCTATATATTTTACAACTAAAAAAAGAGTTTTTAAAACTAATAAATATAAAAAATTGCCAAAAATAAGTTTAGAAAAAAAACTAATTAGAGAAATAGAAATTAATTTGTAACACTGGTACATGTTAAAACATTACATTTCCATATCTAAAAAATAGATATTCATCATTATTATAAACATCTCTTTGAATATATTTGTTGTTTTAAACTGAATAACACATTCGAATTCAACTTTGCCTATTACCATTTCTTTATCAAAACCATCTACAGCCCTGAAAAACCACATCATAGCCATTGGAGGCAGACTATTTTCAATGGAATGCCATTGCAATTCTTTAGACATACTAGCTAAATAGCTGTATATTATATTATTATCCATATAATACTCTTTACATTTGTTACAACTAAGCAATTTTTCAAATGAAGTTGTTGTGAATCTTGTTTTATCGTGGTCAAGAGTACTATACAAAGTATAAGTACTATTATTATTATTATTATTATTATTATTTGAATGAAAAGTGCCTTTGATACTAAGTAAACACCAATATAAATATTCATCTTGATAAATTTTATTTATTTCGCTCTGAATAGGTGTCATTTCTATAAAGACCGAAAATTCAGAGCCATTATTGTTAACCTTAGCAGCAATAGAAGCAGTAATTGTATAGTTAAATAGAAATTGTACTATACTGTATATAAATATAATTTGATTGCTACAAGTAAAAAAAAAAAAAACTCTGATATACTCAACAAAAAGTTCTACTTTTATAATAAAATAAGAATGCACTTAGAGTGTTCTCAAATAGCATGCTTGATGTAATTGTAGTGATACTCAACAATTATAATGAAACTTAATTAGACTATTGTTGAATATCAATAATACGAGTAATAGTATAAAAATAAATATATTTATAACAACATGTTACATGTCACAACCTTGTAGTTAGCCAATAATATTTAGTATTTAGCTTTTAGATTACACATAAATTAAGGTATTTTATTGGCTCTACTAATAGTTGTGATATGTAACATGTTGTTACAATTAGATTCGTCCATAGTATAATTGAATTATTCTATATAACGATACATTAATTTATAATTGTATTGATGCTCAAATACAGTATTACAATAAGTTAAAATATTTATTGCAATTAGATGTTTCCTTGTTAGGGTATAGACATTTATCACCTGATTTTTTTAGGGAGGAGGGGGTCAGAGGGTTATCAGGTGCTATATAATATAGTACTATTAGCCAATCAAAATTGTCCAATATAACAATAT